ACAGCTCCGGGGCGGGGGGGGTTAAGTTTCGCGTCTGTTTCTCCCTACAACTTCGTTCCCAAGTCAGTCCTGCCCAGCCACATATCTGCGTAATACTTATGTTGTTATAACGTACCTTTCAAGGAGGAGGCAGTCTGGAATTTCGAATCTGGTGAAAGGGTCGTAATACGATAGTGGTTTATCCCTCGGTTCTGGTGAGGCGCCACTTTTTGTACTTCGAATTAGCCCCTTGTACCTCGCTGGGTGGGCTGGCCTTTTGGGCCATGCCAATAGCCCAGACACCTTCTCCGTGCTGAATATATATATATTCTGCCCGAGTATTGTGTCTTCTTTCGTCTTCAGGGAGTCCCGGGACGCTACAGGGTCGTCGCCAGATTGCGGTTCTTCTCATCAATAAACATTGTACCATTCCTCCTGCTCTTTCCTCCTTAACAAAAATGTTAAAACCAAATCAATCAGGCTGTTCTAGGAACACTAGGAATAGGGTAGAGGAGATCGGTGAGTCTCGCCATATATCTGTCTATGCTCTATCCAGATAGTACCTTTGTACAGGTGTTGACAACTTTTCTGTAGAACCATAGCATGCGAGCTTTTCCTCTCAGCTAAAGTCAGTCGCTTAACCGTAGGAATCAGGGTACATGTCCCCCAAAAAGAAGTTTGCTTTCGGCTGCCACGAACGTAGCGATCAGAGACTTCCCTGAACACGGAAGAGGACACAGTACTCAGAAATATACATATTTGATATGCAGTATGGTTTAGGGCTAGTAGAGTGGCCAGTAGGCCGAAACATCTGGAGAAGGTAAAGTGGCCAGGATAAAAATTACCTTAAACAAAATCAGGAGTTGAATAAACCACTAACGTATTGCATCCACTGTACACATTTTTGTCAGACTTGTATACAATACCAACAATATATTAGTGAATAGGTTTGTCAACTGTTTCATGTGTCCATTATGTAAATCCGACACCAAATATCAGCATGTTAGAGCACATTTTTATGAAGTATATGAAATCGCCACTTAGTAAGGCAGTGCCAAAGGACTATTTCTTAGGATAGCTTTAAACACCAAGACTCCGAAAAGCCGGAAATGACCTGTTTGGCTGGCGAAGCCCTTTATGTAGACAAGAAAATGATGCTACCACTCTTGATAAAATTCTTTTGAAAATTAAGGTAACTAAGCAGTTCTAGCACATTTGAAAGTATAAAAGACCTCTGAGATTGTCGAGAGCTGATAAGTTTAACGGCCAAATGGATCTTCGGATTTTGTTTAGTTGTTTCTGAAGTTGCAGCGCTTCTTTGTAGATCGCTCGTGCTGCTTTCATCCGCGATGTCAGGTTACAATTTCAAGAGTATTACAGTTGTTCCTTCTTCAAAGGTGCGTTTCATTTCCTGTTTTATTCTTCTTCTAGGAATTTATTGACATCGTATTGTCAAAAACCCAAAGGAAAACCCCTACTGTTATTCACAAACAGTATCCTATGCCTCGTATTCGGAATTTTTACATGAGAAAAGTGAAGACTTGCCAGCAATTCTTCCACGATAAGCTGAATGCTATTGTCACTGAATTTCCTATGGTGGAGGTAATATGGTTGCCTTTTAAGGATTTTTTAGAGTATTCACCCATTTTACGCAGACTTGATCAACGTTCTTTACTCTAAAGATCATTATAAGTTGGCTCTTGGTCAGATTAATACAGCTAAAAATATCATTGACGGGTAAGTACTTTACTGCTGCGATAAACCTCAACTAGTATTGCTCGGGATCAAGTCAAGATGCTGAAGTATGGCGAATCACTCTATCAATGCAAGACGCTGAAACGGACAGCTTTGGGCAGGTGAGCTTTACCCTCTTATTCTTCATTTGCTCTTCAGAATGTGTACTGTCATTAAGCGTCAAGCAAACAACCTCAAGTTTTTGGAGGACACCCGTCAACACCTCTCTCGACTACCGAGTATCAATCCGGATACGCGTACACTGATCGTTTGTGGCTTCCCAAATGTTGGAAAGTCTAGCTTCATCAACAAGGTACGGCATCAGCCCTCTCAAAGCCAGTGCTTTAGATCACACGGGCAGACGTGGATGTTCAACCTTTCCCATTCACCACGAAATCACTCTTCCTGGGTCATACGGACTACAAGAACCTTCGATGGCAAGTTATCGACACTCCAGGCGTGTTAGACCGCCCGCTGGACGAACACAACACCATTGAAATGGTCGCTATTACTGCTCTGGCTCATCTTCAGGCCGCAGTTATCTATCTTATGGATCTGTCGGAACAGTGCGGCTACTCTGTTGAACAGCAGGTTTCATTGTTCAAGAGCCTCAGCCCCCTATTCTCCAACAAACCGCTGCTGGTTGTCGCTAATAAGGTAAGATGGATGGCCTGCGTTTACATCTTTCCTGCTCCATAACAAAACTAGAACGTGTCTATTGATAATAATATGTGTTTATTGCATCCGGAAAAATTTCATAATCTGGGTCTGCTTTTGAGACAACAATAACAGTCTTGTTTATGTGTAGTAAGCAGACCTTTAAATTTTTAGTCAGACGTGAAGAATCTGGCCTCGCTCTCCGACGAGGATCGAGAACTTGTAACCGCAATGTGTCGCCTCCCGGGCGAAGAGGAAACAGGGCAGGAGAAGCCACTCTTTATGGAGATGTCGACTCTCCTGGGCGACGGAGTCATGGAGGTGAGGGCTCGTGCCTGTGACGACCTTCTCACTCGCCGTGTGGAGGCGAAACTGCGAGCTGGTGCTGCTAGCCTCCGTGAAGGCTCGATTGCCAACCGACTGTACATTGCGCGACCCAAGGGGGCAAGTTGCAACCTCTTTAAGTGCAGTATAAGTAGACTAATATCGTTTAAATTGAGCACTCCAGTGTGCTACTTCAACCGAAGGTTTTAATTCTAAAAATGACCGAAAAGTCTTGTACGTCTTGTCTTCCTTTACTGACTACATTGACACTTTTTCGCTACCTCCAGATTCTGGCCGATCGTCCGCCAAATATCCCAGAAACCGTGCTGGAAAAGCGTCGTCTGAAACGTGCAGCCGAGGAGACGACAGCCATGGAGATTGACGGAGACGCCTCAGCCCAGCCGCCAACAGCCAAGCGGCCGATGACAATGCGAGATCGCGAGTTGGCTGAAGGCGATGATTTCTACCTTAATCTGCGCGATCACTGGTTGTTGAAAAACCCACATGAACGCAACGACATTATTCCCGAGATTGTGGATGGTCACAATATCGCCGACTTCTTCGATCCCGATATTGAGGCTAGGCTGAATGAATTGGAGGAGCAGGAAAAGGCTATGGAAGAGGCGGGAGTCTATGACGAGGAGGAGGACCCAGACGATGCTGATCCTGACATGCAGAAACTTAGGATTACGGCTAAGAAGTGAGTACTTGGACGTCTTTGCGCTAGTCTGTGGTGCTAACATTACACTCAGCCGGTTCACTGACTGATCATCCATTGATGCTGTAGAATTCGTGAGGCACGGGCACTGCGAATTCTCGAATCACAAGCTCGGAAGAATAAGGAGAAGGGACGCATTTCGCGTGCTGAAAAAGGTGTCTCTGCCAAGCAGATGAAAAAAGAACTTGGAAAACTCGGTCTACCGGTGGATGTTAGTCGAGAAGTGAGTTCGTCCGCATTTTTTGGTAGTTTTGTCGAAATGTATTGCGGGTGTTCAATTAACGCACCGGTTCTTGCGCTCATAAAAGCGTGTTTCAGCTGCCTGTCAATTTTCGCTCTCCGTTTTAGGTGGAGCAGAGTCGAGAACGACGTCAGGCAGCGGCCAAGCGACGCGCGGCCTCGCTGTCGGTGGCGAGGAGCGAGGCGGCGCACGCAGCGGCGGTGGAACGAAGCTCGAAACCGCGCGCCCGCTCCGGTGTGCGCGACGACGCGGCATATGCGGCAGCTGTGCGGCGCGCACGCGTCGACGTGGCGCGTCGTGTGGGTGCAAAGTCACGCAAAGGCGAAGCGGACCGACACATCCCCAACCTCCGACCCAAACACCTCTTCTCGGGCAAGCGATCCATCGGCAAGACACAACGTCGTTAAGCTCCACTATCTCTTGTTCATAATTCCTCTCCCTACCTGCGGTTAATCAGCTTTTGGTACCTCTATAAAAATGTTTTTGCTTGTGAAAGCAGAGTAGTATTTGTCTGCTGTGTCGGTATTTAGTTGGACATCCAAATTTTTCCGATTCGGTGTTGTTACATGACTAACTCAAGTAATTGGTTTGACACTGGAAGAGCGAAAGCTTCAGCAGAATTGGTGGAAAGGACTCGGAGACATTATTTAAAGAGTATTTGGTTATGGTTGAGTGTTCGCCTTTCCAACCCAGTCGAACGCAGTCCTAGGGGTGCTGTAGAGACATCACCACTCCTCGAATGTTACGAAGAGCCCAGCGCTATTCAGTTCGAAAAGCAGGCAACCTTCAATCGTATCGGTTCCATTGGGCATGCTGAGAGGATTAATTATGAGGAGAAATTGGTAGAGAGCACAGTGGATAGAGGAAACCCTACCGATAGGCTGGTGTGCGCCCGTCTATGCTTTTCATGTCATCGAAATAAGCTCTCTCCAGGCCATGAGGTCCTCTTTGTTGCCCCAATAGCAGGAAGCGTGGGATGGCTGAATGGAAGCAAGGTGTTACTGTCTAATTGCCCTCCAGCCGTTGTTTGGCATCCTCTACTCTGTACAAACCAACGTGCCTGCTGAAAGGTCGTCGAGATTCACGATGGGAACCATCTCTCTCGGGATACAAGTGACTTGGTGTGGCTTTCGTTCCTACCCTGTGATAGCCGGCGCGGAATGGGGATCGTCAAATTGCCTTTTTTGATCGTTTAAGTATGAGGCAGAAGCACCTTCAAGCCATTGCCAGCCTAGCTGTGCCGGCTAATCGTTTTTTCAGCTCTCAACCGTTCCACACTCGTACGCACACGGACACCTTCGTTGAATTCGGTCGTCTGAGAGATTCTCCACCGTTGTGAGATGGTATCCAATTATTTGGACAAATCTAAAAGACTTTTCTTCAGGAGAGTGTTTCGTTTTCCGGCCAAATAACTCAGAACTAGTGGGTGTGATGTCACTTTAACCTCTTAATCAAGTATTACCGGCCCAGGTTGGCGGCAAATTGGACGAAACGTTTTAAACTCTACCAATCCCTCAGACAAGGTGCTACTTATATGGTAAGCAAGTAGCATTCAAATGAGTTGGGGTGCTTAGAATGGGAATTATTTGGCTCGTTTGCTATGTAATGTCATGCAGACCTCGGGATCAGGCAGGATAGGCAGTCTCAATCTCTCAGAGAGCAAATACTACTTAGAAAACAGGTAGGCATTACAGAGAGGAGGGTTGGTAGTTGTAGAGCGAGATTTGCTCGCAGTATCTTCTGTTTGACGTTATGTAGACCTCTGGATTAAGCATTACCGTCCCAGGCTGCCACCAGAAACAGCCGGAACCCCCAGACGACGAATACTACTTACATAACAAGTAGCCATTGCCAGGATCGAGTTGGATGATATATGGTTGAAAATATTTGGATCATTACCCGCATGGTATACTTTTAATCCATAAGTCAAGCATCATCAGCTTAGCCCGATAGGGAAAATAACCTAAACTGTTCTAACCTTTTGGGCTGCACATACCACTTATATGGGAAGTAGGCGTCAAAAAGCGGGGATGGGAGATGCAAGGCGGGAATTGCGTGGATTGTTTGCTGCGTTATGTTACCTCGGTCTCTGGACCATGCATTATCGCCCCAACTTGACAGCAGTTTTAATGAAGTAGCTTGATCTGTAGCAAGCCTTCTGACAGTAAGTACTACTTACGTTATAAGTATGCAGGGTAAGAAGAGTTGGGAGGTGTAGACTTGAAAGTAATTGGATTGAATCCCGTGCAATGCTATGCAGGCCTCTACTTCAGGCATTGTCATCTTACACTGACACCAGAAACTGTATAAACTGTTGCCATCCTCCAGGTAGCAAATACTACTTATGTAACAACTAGGTGTTGCAAGAAGTGAATTGGAAAACATGTAGTCGGAACTATTCGGTGTTTTTACCGTGTGGTGCTTTTTTAATTACTGAGTCAGGCGTTGTCAGCTTAGCCTAATAATGCTTAAAATAACTTACAATGCTCCAACTCTTCAGACAACAAATACTGCTTATATAATAAGTAGGCACCACAATAAAGTGAAGTTGGAGGCTGCAAAGCGTGATCCACCTGGATTAGGTGCTGTGTAAAGTTATTCTGCCCCCTGGACCAAGCATTATCATCCCAACCCGACAGCAGATATAATGAAGCGGGTCAAACTGTCGCAGTCCTACGGTCCGAAAGACACTACTTACGTAATAAGAAGATAGTGTTAATAGAGATTTGGGAGGTGTAAGGTGAGAAGTGTTAGGCTGGTCTGCTGTGCGGTGTTATTTAGGCCCCTGGAACAAACAGTCTTATCTCACCCTAACAGTGGGAACAGCTACAACGGATGTAATCCCCCAGATGGTAAATACTACTTATATTATAGATCAGCACCACAAAAAAGGTTAGAAGATTTAATGGGAGAAGTATTTGGAATATCACAGGCTTGATTTTACTTGGGCCTCTAAACCAGGCATTGCCACCTTGCGTTGGTAGCAGAAACGGCACAAACTGTCGCAATATCTTTGATAGCGGATACTACTTATAAAGCGAGTAGACAGCACTAAGCAGGGATTGGGATGTGTAGCGTGGGAAATATTTTATTTATTTGCTCTGTAATACTACTTGGACCCCTAAAGCAGCCATTTGCATCTCTTCTGACAGTGGAAACAGCTAAAACGAGCGCAAGAAATGCTACTTATATAACAAGCAGGTAGTGTCGGAAACGTGTTAAAGTGATAAACGGCTGGAAATTTTCGGGGCATTTACTGCGTGACATTGTTTTATCCTCTGAGACAGGCATTATCAGTTTAGTCTGATGGAAGAAATAATTTAGACTATTGCAACCCTATGAACACCATATACTACTTATATAATAAGTAGGCATCAACAAGTGCAGTTGGGGGATGTGAGGTGGGAGGTATTTGGACTCTATACCGTACAGTCTTCTTTCGATGAGGTGGCTTATATTGCTTCGCTCCCACAGACAAAACATACTACTTCGATAACAGATGGTTAACACGGAATTCGAGTTGAAGGATCTCGAGTCCCTTCCAGCCTTATTTCGTGCAAGCAGAATCGACCCGAAAAATAAGGTTGGGCTGCTAAAAATAGGATTAAGAACTGTTCTTTTGTTCTAGGCAGGGGGGATTTTCTTGTTTGATGAGGAGTTTTAATGAAGAGAGTAAAGAAAGGTCATGACCTACGACCTGGGCTACGACGCTGGGGCATTTCTCACCCGCCCAACGATCAGCTGACCCACGGCGTAAAAATCGATTGAGCAGCAGCAGCAGCAACACTTTCAGATGCAGCGGTCGCCGAGAGCATTGCACCACCACCACTACCATCGCCACCGCCACGAGACATGCATCACGAGCCCAGCGAGGTTCTGGCCCGTCGTCTACGCCACAATTGGCTCCTCCATGGCAACGAGTTCAAAGCCGCCCGCGGTGGACTTGACGGTGATTGTGAGGATGATGGATCGTTGACGAATCTTTCTTGGCTCCAGGTCAGTTGCCAATCTGATGGTGTGCTTCATAGACCTCTTCAAGGATCACTTTTGCAACATCTTTATTTCTTCATAAATAATCCTATCAGTAGCTAATTAAGTAGTATATTTACTTGAGTAATCGAGGTCTAATCTCTTCTCATTGGATAAGCGCTTGGACTTTCCATGGGGTCAAGGAACTACTCGATTCCTGTTCTCTTTTAGAATATCAGTGTTAAAAAACTGGCAGCTCCGCTGTCACCACTGTCACCACCCTCGTCACCAACATGGGATCTTCATCACACGCAGCCCAACCATCACAACACCCTCGAACTTTATCGCCAACACTGTCTAAACTATGGTCTGGGTCTGCATCAAAGTCCTCTTTCATCACGTTCAATGTATCGGCAGACACTGTCGACTGGGAGAATACAACAACGCGACACCAACAGGAATATTCGACCCCTCTTTAAACGACGCGGTACCCTTTTGAAGAGGTTTAAGAACTCGATACCAGCGCTTCAGATCCTCAAGAGTCTTCCAGCCTCCAGCACTGTTTACACCACCTCTAATAACACCTGCCAACAACAACAACAACAGCTGCATACGCTGTGGGCTGTGGAACCTATGACCCTGCTAACCGACACCTCGTTGACTTCTTCTCTGCCAACGATTGAGGATGTAGCACCAGAGGAGCGAGTAGCATTCAGGGCCAATCAGATGCTTCAACCGCCGTTTACTCACACCGCGCTGATCTGCATGAGTATGCAAGCGATGGGGAAGAACAAGATCACGTTAGATGAGATCTATAGTTGGGTGGCGGAGAATTTCGCCTTCTATCGAGACTCAGAGCCTACCTGGAAGGTGAGAAAAGGATGAATTATTGCATTAATCGAAGTTCGCCTTCTCCCAGCCCAGTTGATAAGGTGTAGGCGTCAGAGCAGAAGGTCATGTAGCCTTAAACACGGTCTTGGAGAAAGATAAACCAACGTGATTGGCTTGATCGCATTAAATGCAGATCTATGTGGCAAAAACTATCTCTATGAACTGGACTGGTTTAAAAATAGTGCAAATGCAGGTAGGGAAATTGGGTCGTCACGTATGTGTGACGCTGGCAGTGAGCGTGTTAGGTAAACCTCGCCCCTATCTTTGGGAATCTTCAAAATGCAAAAGACTTTTAGCAGTAATGAAAATCCTTGGTTATTCTTTGTTTCTATCTCGATATTCTTTCTCGCAGACACGTCGTATTGAAAAACCTAGTTTAAATTCGAACGACCTACCAGCACCTCGCAAACGTCTGTTTAGGGTTTCAAGTACTCACACACATATTCCCTACTCTCAACTTGACAGCTAGCACTTCGACAGACACTAATGCGTAACGCCATATTTCAACGAGTTCCACGTCGCAAGGAGGAGCCCGGCGGGTGGGGTGATATGTGGCGTCTCCACCCTGACATCCGTTCCAAACTGCGAGACCTCAGTTACCAAGATGCTTCACCACAGACGCTGGCCAAGTCATCTATCATCGCGCCCAAGCTGATTATTCAATCAATCATTAAGACTGAGGAGGAGGATGTGCCCCCGTCATCGGCTAGCCAACGGGCTGACAACGAGGAGCCGCATCCACGTCAACGGGAGAATCAGGAGGATGAGAGCCGCCTTTTGGTGAAGGACTTAAAATTAGAAATAGAGAATGAGGAGGAGCCGAGGCTGGAAAACGATTGGTGGTCCAGAGACCTGAGTGAGAACGTGGACAGGCTAATGGGAGATTTGGAGGGATCCAATCCCGATCTGTACATGTCCCTAGACAGCCCGACAGCCTACTCTGTTGACAACCCAAACACTCCGACGGATGACCAACCCTGGGTGGACGATAGGCTAAATTTAGAGGAATTAGATAACATTCTTGGCTTAAAGTAGGCCAAACCACCCCGATCCTGTACAAATGTGCACATAGATTCCGATGGCCACCCAGCCGCTAATTCGTTTGTTACAAAAATACAGAAACTAGAAGGAAAGGCCCACTTCTTAGCTATTGTAAAAGCGAAAAGGGCGGCGGTAACCTGAGATTCCATCAGAGGCGGAGCACTAGCAACTAGAATTTTACGAGACATGAGCGAGACTCGGCACCAACAGCGGCCCGCCCACGAGCAACAATACTAGACAAGCACGAAGTTAAAAACGAGCCGCAGAACCCAGCCCCTAGCACAGGCAACACGATGGCGTCAGCCGACAAAGCAACAAGTCGGAACGAGGACCCACACCACCACCGCCACGGCAACCATAACACGGAAACACAACGATTAGGACGGAAACACCCCTTGGACCGAAACCTTTGTAGGTACACCCAGCCAAACTCCACAAAAATGCCTCTTGCAAAGAGCCTTTATTTTTAAGTCTAAAATGAACAGATCGACAAGGCAACTCATGACGTGCAAACCAACGGAAGCGATGATAGCAAGGACAATGTTGATGCAGACAGGTAACCCAGTCGCCCACAACGCCAGGTCATTTTACACAACTCTCACTTTTACCTGTTAAAAAAGGCTGCGTCAAACCATTGATTCAGCTTTCCGCACAGGTACAGCAAAAGCATTCCCCACAAGCACTCACAGAACCAAGCCTGGAAATCTATACAAAGTGTTTAACGCATGGTTACAGATGAAAAACCAGTAAAATTTTATCCGCATTACTCAGATGCAGGTAAGAGCATCAAGCAACTCACCCATTGACTTCAGCATTAAATCCATCAGACATGCCTGAATGGAAAAAAAACTCCATTAGTACAAAGTTTAAAAATCAGATGTTGTTCTCTGCACAAATAAGATAATGTAGGTAAGTCATCATGAGCAACTCACCATTTAGGCCAAGCAGGCATGATAGGCGAGCTCCCAACCCCTCCTCACCAGGATGTCTAAAAAGGATAAATGCGTTTGTTGAGGTATCAGTGGAACAAGCTACAGCAGTAACTCAGTCGAAAGATGGTAAGGCATCATGATCACGCATGAGGCAGCGTGTGTGCACTCACCAACGCAAATGAGAGATAAACAACGAGTTCTCATCTAAAAAGCGGGAGGAGGTACGAGAGAAAGTCAGTGGATGAGAATGCACCATTACTTCAATTGATAGAGGGCCAGCCATCAATGAAACAGGAGAAACCGGAAGCGACTCAACCACGCCACTCGTTGCAGGAATAATGCCGGAGGCGGCTGAGGCGGAACATATAAACAAATGAGTTTTAGTTATGTGAAAATTAGGCTTATGCTTATGCAGGATTGTGGCTGACTTTAAGGCACATAAAACCCAAGTAATTAAAACTACTGTCTGCACTTCGCTCAACTAGTGAAGTCATAAAAACCATCGAATCAAGATATACTTCGACAAAGTGCATTAAAAGGCAAAGAAAATGGTAAAGGTGGCCTTTGGAAGCATTTAAGCTTAGCTGTAAATTGAATTCAAAATATTTAGTTTAATCACTGCCCTTATCAGAGCTTTATCAGGAGGTTTTGACCATTTGAGTGCAGCGTCCAGAGACTTCCCTAAAGCCGAAAGGAGACATAATACTCGTTCGGAATACATGTATTGGCAACTGGAAAGGTATTTGGACTATTGGTATGGCCTGGAGATGATCCCACCTGAAGTGGTACAAAGGCCAAGTCAAAAGTGGCTTCCCACAAAAACTGAGAGATAACCAACCACCGTATTGCATGACATCTCAAGCATGAAAACGACATCCTATAGTTAATCTCAGCTTAGTAAGCAATAATATTTTCTGGCACAGTTTCTGGCACTTTATCATCTATTAAGGCATATTTTAATTCAAGCTACTCCGACTTCTTATGGTACCTGTAGTACTCCTGTCTGCCCCATAGACCAGATACGCTACAATACTCGGGTGGAATGTATTTAATATGCAGAAGAACCTTTAACTACCAGCATAACCAAGAGTTTAGTCCACCCAATGGATGTATAAGGGTTCAGACACAGAGTGTTCCTTGCAGCGTCCCGAGATTTCCCTGAAGACTGAAGAAGATACAATTCTCGGGCAGAATTTATATTCAATATAGAGAAGGTGCTTGGCCTACTGGCATGGCCCGAAGCCTAGCCCACCCAGCGAGGTACAAGAAGGCAAAATCAAAAGTCCAAAAGCGGCGCCTTACCAACGTAAAAATAACCCCTCTTTTTTGAGCCTCGTCTTCAGGGCTTCCCTTGGTCAATTTCTCGCGTCAACTATCAAGGCTAATTCAGCGTTGAATAACACCCATGCACTAGCCGTGCCAGTCATTGACTATTCATGCAACTGAGGAGATACCTGACTTCAAAGTCACTGGTTTAATCTGATTATTCAAATTAATCTGCAGTTTCTTTCTGTATAAGAACTGGAATTGACAAAGGGGAATTTTGCTAACCATCACGCGTGTCCATAGCTAGGCGTAGAAGGATGGGCCTAAGAGCAGAGTCAGGTAACAAGGAAAGGGACCTGGCATAGTTCCGTGGGAGCAGAGTTCGGGGTCTAAATTTTCGGTATGTCCGGAACACGTTGGAATAGGTGTTAGTTGTAATTCACCTTTTCGATAAGAAACAGCAAGTATACCATAGTCCTGCGACCAAGCAGATGCTAGTGGCTCTGAAGGGGAAAACAAATTTTAATCCTTATTAGTCTCTGACTACTTGGGCATATTCGCTCTAGTTCTTAAATAATGTAGGTGCTCCTTAAGTCAGCCTTCCCGTTTTAAGCGCGCGTGGATGCGGAAGAGGGAGAAAGGAATGTTTAATCAGATACAGTCCACCTTACACAGTAATGCGGCATGTCTGTGCTTCATGTCAATATTTAGACACCGAGAAGCTGAAAGGAGGTTTGTAAAAAGTTGGGTTAATGTTTCACAGTGAGTAAACTCGGCGTATCAACCCCACGGCCCATTTTCACTTTGTTGACTGAAAACGCCCTAAATAGATGCTTCGAGATAATATGAAGAAATCAGAGATCATATACTTAGACCGCGACAGAAGTATTATTTTTCAGCAGTCTTTCATGAAGTTGAATGTTATTTCTCCATTTTATAACGTTCTTTGTAATACTTGTGTTATTTAAGTGTACCTTCTAAAGACGAAGTAAGCCGATGACTTGAACCTCGTGATAGAGGAGGTCTCAGCATCTCCCAGACCAGAGCTGGTTCCCCCAAACTTATATCTATCCCATTGACACTGAGCAATCACTATGTCCCAATCCTGTCAGCTTCTTCGTTATAAGGGTAAAAAGACTAAGAAATGGGAGATAGGATAGTAGTGTTTTACGTTACCAATGCTAAACAGATTATAATAACCTAAATCCGAGTGCCCTGCAAGTCTTCCCAGTCGACACCTGGGAATTGGAGATTAATTTTTATGCAAATTGGGTTATTTTTGCCCTTCTAATTTAGAGCTTACTTTAGAAACCTTTTTTTAATTGTATTGCTCACATTAAACCGTTTTCGATAAGCAACGGCTTGTTTCATTTTGCGATTTTGCTAGAAAATAGGTAAGGTGGGGAACAATTAAACCCTGCAAATTTTAACTCAGGCAACCAAAAAATAGATAAGTAGCTAATAGACTGTTTTTCTTTCAACTCCCTTGTTTGTACTCATTATTGAAATCAAACAGTAAGGTTAGGGAAATTACAAGAATGATTGAAAACGTTGAAGTGAGTTTGATTATTTACTTGTAAATCTTCCGTAAATTCCCTCGTATATAAAAAATAGAACCTGGTTTTGACCTTTTCACTCACACTTTGCGAGTCATGTTTAACATTCCCCGGTCGGAGATACGGACTTTATGCGCATCAGTTCTCATCTTCATGCACCAATAAACTATAAGTTACCGTCTTTTCCAGTAATCGAAGCGCCGGTTTGACTTCGCTTCACTCTTTTCCGCTCTACAATCCTCTTCTAGGTGCGCTTCTATCTTACCTATCCGTTTTGTGGAATCCCCTCCCCCATTTTATTTTTTGCCTCCTCTGCTTATTTACAAGTGTCCGCATGTTGGTTTACAACCTTTTTTGCTTTTTTATGAGGTGCAGGGTAATACATTGATTTTGCATTGTCCCGAACCCCCTCTCCCTTTTCTGAGAGGAATCAGAGCTCCATAACATTTGTTAACGCCACTCATTCTCATTACATTGCTTTCACTTACTTGGAATCATTATTAAACTTAAGATTAAATAAAAATAAAGTCGATTGGTAGATGTCAGTTTTAGCACTTTTTTCTTGACCGTCCAGAGATTTTGCACTCTACAGCGCTGACCGTGACCTTACGATAGAGCCACTAGTGTAAACTTCTCTGACCGTAAAAACATGAACTTTTGAATGCGTTCTAGATTATGCTACACAAACTTTACGATCAATTATCTCGTTCCATATACTAATTTAAGTCGAAAAAGACAGCAATGAAATGGAACTTTGTCGCATCGTTAAAATAATTTATCCTATGGAGCTCCCTTTCTCTTATTTTGCATATTTTTTTCGCTGGTTTAATTTCATGAGTTTATTACAGGTAAAACACCTGTCTCGCATGTATCCTTGCCGTGTTTGTGCATCCGGTTAAAGTTCCGCACCCCTCAAATGAAACATTAAGTTAGAACTTTTCTCATACAAATCAACTGTGAAACGAAGTGTGAAGTGCTGAAAATATTTTATTTTATCCCTTTTCTAAGAACGCAAAACAGATTGGTGAAAATGAGCTGCCCCAATGCTTTTATGGCAGGTCATTGTCAGTTAGCAAAACAACAAAGTCATCCACCATGTGTACGTAGTTATCCAGTTTGTGTTTTGTTCTGTGTTGTTGTATTTAACCCGTCCATTAGTGAGGCATGTTGTGAGTAATGCTTGTCTTGTGCAATATTTGACAGGCTGCTCACAAGGAAATGAGCTCCAGACTGGTGAAAACGGGATGCGCGACCGCGCTGAAGGGTGTTGAACTCCTTCGGGACCCCTTCAAAAATAGGGTGAGTCCAGGAGGCTGCTGTTTGCAATAACAGGAGACTCCATTTATTGTCGCACTGAAAACCCTTCAGAAGGGAATTCGATTTGGTCATATTTCGTATGAGGCCGTGCATTAATATATTCTAGGTCATTTGTTGAATTGCGTCCCTTGCTAACATGGTTTCTTAGCGATCCTACTGCTTACTTCCTCAGTAGCTGACAAGAATTCGTAGTTACCACCGAATAGCCCTAGATTTCATGAAGGAACAGCACTGCAAATCCACTTGACGATTAGTGTACGTGAATATTCAGCTCTTGTGGTACACATTTAACCATCCCACCGCTCCCATTTGTCTTACTACTTCCCCAGTAAAACAGAATAAGACCTCATCAGAAGATAATTTTCAAGGTAGGGATTCCAGTCCACAAAGACGAGTCCCCTTGATAATTCTAACTTATGCTCGTTGAGCCCTGGTTTTTTCACAGAAACAACATTGGCAGTCCATCTGGTGCATCTAGCACTGACTTCCAGTCTCTGAATATGCGACTGCACACCTTTTTCTAGTCTGGACAACAGTAGGTGTGACGCGGCATTTCCTGTTTATCAGCCTACGACGATTCCGCTAACAAATAAAATTTAGTTTAAACTAAGGAGCAGATCGCACTGATTTGTTTGAAAAGTGGTGCGACTCTACAGTACCTTACCACTATCCACTTTTCAGTAGTCGATAAGAGGACTAACATTTCTTGGTGGGGTTACGTTTTCATGAAGGGATTGTCCTACAAAATCGCTAAAAGATCTTTAACCCAGAAAGATGACATTATTCATGAGATGTGTGTATTTCCCAAACCTTCGGAGGAAACCTTTTTGTCAAGAACAGTGGATCCACAATTCCACTAAAACACTCCTTAAGGCATCAATTGTAGTCCATAGAGAAGCATTTGGTAGTCATTGTCACGCCACACGCACCCTTCCCCCCACTTGACCTATAAGAGGGCGTGCTTTCTGATAATTGAAGGTACAGCATTATAGATCTGCTGAAACTTGGAACGGGGGCCGCTATTTAGTTTGGAGAGGCCCTCTATCCCTAGTTGCGATGTCCGCTTCCTCGTCAGACGGTACTCAGCAGCAGCTTCCATTCCATGAAGAAATTGAACTGAATGTCAACTCGAAGATGTGTTGATGGGGGAGTTTTCCTTCGAGTGATATTCCACACGACTTTAGGAAGCTACAAACTGACTGGTTAGTAAAGAATTTTCCTCCTCTGCTCCCCGTTGATAGGCCTGTTGGACCATTTTTAGCCTCTAAGGATAAGACGTATTTATTTACTTCGTTCTCGACGTCGAGAAGTCGATTTGCAGTTTTCCAGTTAGCTTCACAATCGAGGACTACTGCGTCTCCCTTGAAAAAGTATTGAGGGCCTCATTTTTAATCGCGATGAGCGAAATTTATTCTCACCTCACCGAAAGCCACCTCTTTTCTGACGCGGCATTGATTGCAAGGCCAATCGGGACTTTCGTTTCACCGAAATTCTAGTCTTCTTTGAGCCCTCTCGGTGGTCTCAAACAAGAATAATGACGGTATTTTTATCCATTTGAAGAATTCAAGGCTTATGGTCGTTTGCATCAGGTTTAGTTATCACTGTCGTCCATGTAGCGCGAGACCTCTCCTGCTGAAGGGTGTGGGCCCAAATGTAACCCTGCTAGAGCTCTATGGAGGGGGCCAGTGAGCTGTAAAATGATCTTCCGTGAGTGGAGCGCCACGTCGTCAAGATGCTAAGTGGCTCATGGCCACATGAACTAAAAAGTCCACCTAATTAAGTGGGCTATTGAAGTTGGCTTTGACTCTGGCAGATATCGCTCCGCGATCTCTCTTCCACATAGTCTATTGAAACGTAGCCCACGAGTCAGAAACGGGAGATATTTGGTTCCATTTAAGCAATTTTAGTAGGCTTATTTAAAGTTACGTCGTCTCCCTGCTTCAATTTCGGAAAACTGGGACGCTCAGTGCACAAGATGTTGAAGGACATAATTGACGTTTGTAGTCTAGGTGGGATGCGACACCCCAACGTGCTCGCTTCAAAGGTCCCAAATGTAAATCAATCATCGCGGCTCTGAATTTTTGTTACTCTAACTCGGCACCGCTTTTCAGTTGTTTGTGCAGGTCATTCCTTCAAACACAAAAAAAGACTTGTTTACCCGCACAATCACAACATTCTCCATCTACTTTATTATTCCAACCTTCACCCTTCTATTTGCAAAACATGTCACTGGTGTGTGTGTGTGTGTGACCTAGAAGAAGCAGAGTGGTGTCTTATATGCGTGCTATTGAAAATAACAGCGCTCCCAGTGCCTCTGCCTCGGTACTTTTACAGGGCCTCGATTTCACTGAGATGCAGCGCCGTGAGCACAAACTGACTGGCCTGCTGCCTGCATTGGTGGACAGTGGATCAGCCTTTCAGGAGCGCCTCAACATGGCTCGTCTTCAGCGCATTGCTGCGGACTTTGATAAGTACGAGTATCTGATGCACCTCTATGACTCTAATCGTGGCCTCTTCTTCCGTCTCATGAACCGCTATACCGCCGAACTGATGCCTCTTGTCTACACCCCCACTGTTGGCGCGGCCTGTCAGGAGTACTCTCTCGTCCATCAAAATGGAAGGTGCGTGTTGTCTACCTTTTATTTTTCGGCTGGTCAGTCTGGACGTCCATTTCAGCCTCTCTTTGAGCCGTTATTTTCGGTGACTCAGGTTGAAAGTCACTGGTTGATCGTCCAATTGATTGATCTGCGGGTCAGGCGGAAGAAATAATGATGTTCCCCCAGGAGAGTATTTACTTCTTGATGGAATGTCATTGTTAAAGCCTGGTGGTTTTCACAACCAACGGATCTCCAATCATCAATTTTGTCTTGCCTAAACTGGAATTCTGCTTAAATACTGTCTGTCTTTCCTCAGAGATGTGGTAAATTTGTGTCTATCATTGCGTCAAGGCTCTGGAACGAATCCTGGAGAGCAGCTTTTGCCCACTCCATTGCTCCTTCGGATTCTCTTCCTCTCTCGCGTTATTTCCACCTCTCCGTACCCTTTAGAAATTGCGACTCTACGTGTCCAAAAATGCGTTCGCCAGTCTCGTGCACGGCCTCTGTTGCTTCACAATCGTTGTTTACTACGAGCGTGGAGTGACTGGCCAGTTGTTCCGTGGATCAGGCAGTCACCCAACTAGTTCCTTTCTAACCTTTGAGGTGAAAAGAGAGACTAGCTGCGAATCGCTCGAATGTGATTCCCCTTGGTTAGTACCTGTTACTCCTCACGGCCACGGCTACTTCCACCTCCTTCCACATTAAATCATTCACGTAATGCGTGCGTTTCCAACCACCGCTTTTCCGGTTGAAGGGCTAGAAGCAGAGTGAGCACGGGAATGGGTACAGTGAGGCATGTCAGCTGGCTTCCTTCCTGCCTTGCCTCCTCTTACATTGAATATTTACAACCCTGTCATTCACACTCACTTGGAGGTGGAGTTGGGCTACGGTTCCCACTGAGCCATACCGCCTTGATGACTAAGCTCCCATAAAGCAGCAAAATGCCTCACAAGAAGGGGATTAGCTGCACTCGTTGTTGATGCTTTGACGTGCTGCATTGCTTCCTCGTTGGATTTATTGTCCATTTCGCCTAAAAGGCTGGTGCATCGCAAGTGGCCAAATTGCAGGCCAAAAGTGGTTGATCATGGGAATTTACTGAAGTGCGTGGGCGTCGAGGCGCTTTACTTGACCAAATCTGACATCCCAGTCCTTGATTAAGCAGTACTTAAAATGGGTTAAACTCTTTCCACTTTTTGATTTCAGAGGCCTTTTCATTCCCATCACCGAGAGTGGCAACATTCGCGATTTGCTTCGCAACTGGCCCTACGTCGACAAGGTCAAGGTAAGAGGTTCTACTTAAAATTCCTTTTTTTTGGAAGATACGCTGAACCGAATCGGTGTTAACTGGCAATCTTCTGTTTTGTTGACTCAATCTACCGAATTAGCACATGAGTAGTAGCCGGACTATTTAGGAGCACCGCACCTTGGCTGGCGCTTGATGCGCGTTTGTTGGTGCCGTGGTCTGCTAAGTTACAGTTTAGGTTAGCTGCCATAACTCTCTTCCATCGGCCTTGATTGTCTTCACCGAAATTGCCCAATCCCGAGATTGTTCGTGATCAGACAGTCTACTCAATCATGATTTAAGTAGCGCCCACCTGCATTCCAAAAGCTGCCTTAGAAAAGCGGTGGAAGTATTCTCTAGTGATTTGTTACCTAAGTAGCCTCATATTTGCCGCATCACAGGTCATTGTTGTTACCGATGGAGAGCGAATCCTTGGTCTTGGCGATTTGGGTAGCTTTGGAATGGGCATTCCAGTGGGCAAACTGGCGCTCTGCACCGGTCTGGCTGGCGTTCCCTCCGATTCACTTCTTCCTATTGTCATCGATGTTGGCACCAACAACGATGTGAGTGCGCTCTCGTCTTTCTCATAACAGCATTTGCGGCGCTTTTGTTATTGAACTGACCTGTACAGCCTCTGCTGTAGAACTATTTGTCTCCACACAGAGGACATAACCTTCTCTCTGCTTTCTTGCCTTAAATTCGCCTACACTGTTCACATATCGTTGGAGCTTAGGTAAGTGGAATGGAAAGTCGTGTGTACGTGACGCCAGTAGTGAGCGCGGTAAAATTTCACGATCATCTTTGCCTTTTGGAGACATCGTGGAGTGACATAGTCACGAACCTTCTTTGAGAAAATGGTAGAACATAATGGTGATCTCCGACGGCAACCAGATGGATTCCTCATGAGAAGTGAAGCAGCCGCAGGATTTAAGTTGGTCGCAGGTCGGCAATGCTAGAGAGATTGGCAAGGAATTGAATAAATGGGTTTTCGGGTGATAAAGATCACTGAACCACATCTTCGTATTTGTGCCCTTTACACCCAACGATGAGGCCTTATCCCAATTTACCCAAATCAATGGCAGCGTGGGACTAACACTTCCTCCCTGTCCTTTTCCGCCCTTCAGAAGCTGCTTTCGAGTCCACTCTACTTTGGACTGCGTCAAAGACGCGTCACTGGAGAAGCCTATGATAGCTTCGTGGACGAGTTCTTACAGGCCTGTGTCGATGTGTGAGTTCCCTCTCCCCCTCTCTTTTGTCTTTTCCTTGTCAACAGCAGCTATCCTCTCAGGTCTCATTACCCTTATTGGGATCGACGAAGTTACTGGTTGATATGACGGGTGACATGAATGGGAGACATGCACTAGGAGGTGGTCCTCGTCATGTTTTGAAGCCTCCTACGATTGCTCTTTTGTCAGCCATCACGATACTAGTCGCAGTTTTTAGTAGTATCGATCAGGCCATTTGGAAAGCGGTTTTCAAATCCTTCATCTAGTGGAAGTATAAGTTGACTGGAAGGATGAAGTCGTCCTTTTGAGCGAGGATTGCTGTAACCCGTTTACGTTGCACTTCCAAATATGGGCTTCAACCCCAAAAATCAGCGTTACCTCTCATCAAATTTAGTGGATGTCATTGTATCACTCCCTACACCACCCCAACTGCGTTGAGGAGTTATTTAGCTCAAACTTGTACCACTTTAGGTTCATGCAAATGAGGTGATTGACAGAATGGGATCCCACCTATCTGTAGTCCCGTTGGATAGACCCTCAACTTTGCGTCACCATTGAGAGGAGAGAATTCGGAATATTTCGCTGCGTCTTCTGCCGATTTACTAGTCATTCTCTGCCCAACTTTAAGTACCCCAGGGTGGTGCGACATTCCTGTCTTGCCAACTCACCCTCTACACACACTCCCCCAGGAGGTGGACCTACACGATGTGAATTTTACTTTGTCTTCCTTACTGCAGTCCAATATGGCTCCTGTCCTCGGAATAGGTTCCAGCTGCACTTTTAAAGACGCCAGCCACCGTATCAGCACACGCTTGTTCAATGTGTATGCTTGTTTCACCTCCATGACAGGGTCTATCACTTCTGGCAGGGGGGATCTGAAACTTGCTAATCCAAAAGAAATTCAGGCTCCTTCCAATCTTGCGCCGTGTTTGGGGTTGGATAATTAGGCCCTAGTTACTGTTCCGATATGTCAAAGCACGCTCGTCCCATCGTGATTGACATGCGTTTGGAAATGTATTTGGTCTAGCTCTGAAAAAGCACCTTCTACGGTGGTAAAATATCCTGCGAGTAGCCCAGTCCAGCAAAATAAACCATCGGCAAGCTTTGTAGTATAAGGGCGAGATGCGCAGTTATATTCCTTTTTTGTGGCAGAAATAAGGTCAGCGTTACGATGGAAACGCGTAGGAGGGCTAACGCGATCTCCCTCTGCCAGCCTTCTGATTGGTCTGTTTTATTTGGCCACGGGAGATCGCCTGGTTCCATAAACAGCCCTTCTTGTTGCCCATTGGACAGCAGCTGCGAGATCGGCTCATGTCAGCCAACTTGTAGATTATGGGAAACCTTTCTCAACTCAAACTGAAGGCGTGTTCCGCTCTGACTGGACGATTTTAAGGTCGCGGAATGTATCCACCTTTTTTTTAAGGCCATAGTCTCTTAGGTTAAAAATGAATGGACACAAAAGAATGACTAGGAATGCTTTTTTTCTACAACCTCCTTCCAGTCCTGTCAGCCTATCGGATTTCTTTTGTCCTCATGGTGTCCTGTTGCCCATCGAAATTTTATTTGTTGGTTTTACTGTTAGTCTCTTCTCAAGGCGGAATGCGATGTCTTTTTTTCCTCCAGTACCTCCGTCCCTCCTCAATGGGTTCTTGAGCATCTTAGGGTTTTTGAACATCTGCCCTAATTCCCCCGTTGAGTATGGAAGGTAGTCTCTCTTTAAGCCAATTGGCTACTCCAAAGGTCACAAGGAGATCTCAAATACAGCAGCCAATTAGCAACACATCTGCGTAAACTTTCCTTCATACGTGTTGTCTTTTTTGATAGCTTCTTTGTCTCATGGCTCATCCTTGTCTAAACTCAGTCAGTTAATTTCTAAGACGTGTGTATTGCCTCTATGAGCTGGGTATTAAAAACCGCCGCCTCTGATTGGTCAACCACAGGTCGGTCTCCTCCTCACCAATATTTCTAAGCCCAAACTTAGAACAGATTCGTCTTATCCTATTTCCTACCCACTGACTTCTTGAAGCCTATTTAATCTAACTTTTAACAGCACTGAAGTAACTTTGTTAATGAATAACGGGTGCTAAAACAGACCCTGCACTAGTGTCTTCTCTGAGTCGATTTTCATCTTAGGTTGTTTATTCTCCACTCACTTCCAGATCATGATAAAGGTGACCAATCAAGAGTTGATTCACAATAAAGTCAAAAGCTGCAGACAACTACTTTTCCACATTGCCTTTCAACGACATATCCGGTATTTTGGAATGTGGCCTAATCCACATCCGATTGTCACTGGTTGTTATACACCTATCCAGCATTTCTTACATCGCAACTTTTTTTTTACCTCTATACTTATTTTAGCTTCGGGAAGGATGTGTTGATTCAGTTTGAGGACTTTGGCAATCACAACGCCTTCCGTTTCCTCAAGAAGTACCGCGAGAAGTACTGCACCTTCAATGACGATATTCAGGTAAGGCCGTGGCACACCCACTGTATAATGTAAGGTACCACTGTGTAAACATTCCCGACCACAATGTGATAAACACTGCTCGATCCTATCATTAAAATATGAACTCTCGAGTGACACTTCCGCCTGGGTGTGTAATTGACAGGTCCTAACCAGCTTAATTGACGGTGCCAGATGTGTGTTGATCGTTCCCGTGTCGTGGCTTCGGTTCCTACGGGGCACCTTGCTGAGGTGTGGCTGAATGATTTGTGTGTGGTCATTAGGACCACTTCAGCGTTGTCAAGAGTTTGATCTCTCACACGTAATCAGTTCCACCAGGTGTGAGCGTGGCGTCGATTGACGGATTCAGTAATAAGCAGGCACTTATAAGTTGAGCTGAAAGCCAGCGGAATGAAAGTGACCGTCAGTTGAAGTGCGACTCATTAGGTACATTTTATCTTATCAAACAGACAGGGGACGTGATTGAAGTCAGTGTTTGGTTGGTTAATGCATCCACCCGTCCAGTTTGCGCGGAAATTTCTGCCCTAGTTGGTATACCTAAAGCTAAGGTCGTGACCTGGTGAACTGACAACTAGCTATAGTGGAAGGAAGCGGACAAGCTGGTCTCAAATGGCGTTACTATTCCAAAGGCTTTGGCAAGCTGTTTAGCTTCAGTGGATTTCCCAGGCTGAATAGCTTTAAAAGGTTGTGCTGAATGAGGTAGATAAGGTCTCATCCCTTTCTCCTGTACCCGGTGGTTTGCTCATCCAATCACGAATTCGGGTGCCTGTGGCATGCGAGGTCAAGTGAGAGGGAACCGGCGCGTCACGTATCTGTGACGCTGGTAACAAAGGCGTTTATCCACTCATGTCCCATCATATCGAATGAAACATACTTTGCCCCAACTTTGGCGTTTACTTTCAGGGAACTGCTTCGGTGATTCTCTCTGGCATGCTCACAGCTTGTCGTGCGACGGGTCGTCGACTGAAGGAGGAGAATATTGTCTGTTTTGGTGCGGGCGAGTCGATGATCGGTTTCGCCAACCTCCTAGTCGAATGTCTCAAGTCGCGCTCTGGTCTGAGTGAGGAGGAAGCTAAGAGTCACCTGTGGATGGTTGACAGTCGTGGCCTCATTGTGGAGGGTCGTTCTTCAGGTGGAATTACCGCTGAGAAGGCGCCTTTTGCACGACCTGCTGGCTCCGTCCCGGAGATCAAGGATTTGAAGGAGGTGAGCAATGGGGGAGATTGAGAGTCCACAACTTTAGTCTTTTAGTCTGAATCGATCCATTCAGAAGTTCATTCATCACTTCATCTATCATTTCCCCATTCTCGCATCCACCTCTGATTCACCCATTCCAGCTGTCTACCTACCCATTCTAAAATCCATCCATTTCTCACGACTATCGCTTGCCTTTTCGCAAATCCATGGGGAATTCATCTACCCCGTCTCATTTCCATCCGTCACAACACTAAATTCTCTTTACTGAAAACTTCATTTATTGTGGATGTGAACTTTTCAATTGCCTTCTCTCTCTGTCTAGATAATCGTTAAGGCTAAAGCGACGACGCTGATCGGAGCTTCGGTAGTGCCGGGCGCCTTCAACGATCAGGTGCTCACCGCCATGGCAAAGCAGTGCTCTCAACCTCTCATCTTTGCCCTCAGCAACCCTACACACAAGTCGGAGTGCACCGCTCTCGCTGCCTACAGGGCCACAAAGGCATGTCACCACGTTTTTTCCTCATCATTCTAGGAAATATCGGTCTCTGAAAGGTCTGGTCTATTGTTTCTGGTGAGGGATGGGAGCGGTAGCGGGCAACAAAGGATGGAGGAATGGAAGCATTGCCTCATCCTCATCCTTTGTATTCTTTCGCTGCTGATATTCTTCCAAGTGATAGTTGTCATTTGTACTTGACATTCGAGTAGTTAGCGGGTCAGATGGGGAGCAGGTGTGTTTTACCTTAAGAAGGAGAACATTTTGTGAAGGTGAGATCGATAGCAACTGTCGGTCTCGTCGAGGGGAAGTAATAAATTGCCTCGGTGTTGTCTACTTTTCCAAAGTCAATAGCCTGTCCGACATGGCAACGCTAATCTACAAACATCGGCTCTAGACTATTCCCCGGTCTAGCTGAAGATAATCGTGTCTTTGTCTCCTCCTAGGTCTAAGATTCAGATGTTAGGGGTGTAAGGTGTCTAGAATCCATAGGGATGAAAGATGCACCGTTGAAGTGCTCCGATCCGCGAATAGGGAGTGGAACTTCGTGGAACTGCCTACCGAAAACCAATTCTTCAAACTACAAGCTTCAGTCGGTGCATGCTTCTTTCCCCTTCCTACCCAGCAGTTCACCTTGTTTATCCGCATCACACTTGACTACTTTCTCTTGTTTAAGCGGATAACATTTCTAGTGGTGGCTTCTTGCCAGGAAATGACTCACTTCCGGTGCTTTTCCACAACAAAACCGCACTTGACAGAAAGAAGTGGGAGCAAGATTTGCCACAACCACGGGTTGCGTGGGATTGGCTCCGGTTTCGACCATATACTTTGACGACCGTCCGAACACACTAGGCAGTCAGTACAATGGATCCACCGCCCCACCCCATGAAATGCTGTTGTTGCTGTAAAGGCACCGATTGACACACCTCATTGAATGAGATCCTGGTTGATAGGTAAGCCCGAGTAGTTTAGACCCACACTTTTGTGGCTCCTCGACTAACTGGGTAAATTCCAGTCCCGACGCATTTTGATCGTGAGATTCCCTCTCCAAATCTGCGCGTAAGTGGACTTTTGTTGGAGGTGCAATGACTGGAATTTGGGTGATTGTCGGGGAGACAGTATGATCCAGGGGTATGCCAACTTCCGACACCTTAATGCCTGTCCGGGCGTGTGGTTGCGAATGGAGGAAATTTTCACCAGCTTCGCGGTGTCACTTGCTGCATGCCATTCGTATTTTCCGCTTAGAAGATTCGTGGAGGTATTTTCATGCTCCCTACTTAGCTACGAGAAGTTGGAGATTCTATCGTTCACACCCCCTGCTCCCTCAGAAGTTCAGAACGGGAAATGCAAAGACTACTGATGCGTGGAATTCCATTTCATGGTGCTCCAGTCCATCTCTACGAATGTGTATACTCCGTGGGAAGTACACATCCCTTCTGCAATGCCGTTTATGCGGGAAAAGGGAACTTCTAGATTGACCAACCACAGAATTGATGTTTTACTGCCCCTCCTCGTCTTCCTTTCCTCCTTCCTTTCACCTTCAGGGTAGCTGTATCTTCGCCAGTGGCAGTCCCTTCGCTCCTCTGACTCTGGATGCCAGTGAAGTGCCACCGAACATGTCACTGTCGAGGAAACCGGGCCAAGCTAATAACGCCTACATCTTCCCGGGTCTCGTGTTGGGCATCTCGTCCGCTAACATTCATCCAGTCACAGAGGAGGACTTTATTGTCGCTGCAGAGGTGAGTTTATCACCTTCCTTCGCCATTAGGACTCTTTACTCGAGCTAGCTCAGAGATGATCCAGTTTCAAATTTATTTGGGCATTATTGAGCTTATAGAAGGGAGGGGTGTCCGGTTAAACCATTCGTCGGCACGGTGCTTCACCTTTTCATCGATGCTGAGATACTCGGATACGTCAGGTTACGCTTTTCGGGGTCCACACCGATGAAATTCACTCCGAATGGGCTTTGGGCTGTAGTGAGGTGTAGTGGGCAGTGCGAGCTGGCGAACAGTGAACTTGCACTGCCCTTTAGAGCTCACAGACGATCTCGGCTGTGGTTTCCTTTCCAATCGGATACTACTTCCACCTGTTTCCCCGTGATACACCTTCCATCGAGAATGGTTACAATACTTGAAGCCTCGTGAAATTTGTGGATGTCTCCAGCGTGGTTTCCAGCAATTTTAGCACACCCTAGGACACACGTTGAATGGTTGGGCGGTCACACAACTTCCCTTTGTTCGCAGTTCTTTCTTGGTCTTAGGCTTTATCGGAGAACGTGGACGAGGCGGACTTGTGTCAGGGTAGCCTCTACCCACCGTGGGACAAGATACGCGGTGTCTCCCTCGCGATTGCAAGACAGGTAGCACACCGTGCCTTCGCTCAGAATCGCGTGTGGCTGAAACGCTGCGACGGACAGGAGGGTGGACTGCGCGAAGAGGATATCGACGCTGCCATTCTCAAGATGGCCAGCTATCCCGATCCCCCGTTGGTAGAGAAATCGGCTTCCTGCTAGATTCATGAGGTCAAAAAAACCTTTGGTGTGGCTTTCCTTGTTGTCGCTGTGCCTCTATCGCCTCCACTGACTTTGGTATTTAATTTTGACATTTAACGAACCCTCACCTTTGCCTGATAATCGTATACACCCTTCTACAAGTTCTTCATCTTTGAGATGCTCTTAAAGTAACAAGTAGTAGACTTTTAGTTCAGTCTTGACCCCTCTCTTTTGGGTTGGAAGTTGGTGGTGTAAGGAAGTGGGCAAGGATCTGTCTGTCCACCCACCTGTCCTATGTCCATCTCGTGTCCATCTATCCAGTCATCCATCCGTTCCGTATCCATCCATCCGTAGGCAACATTGTGCACCCCCTTCAATGTATCCTCCTGGCAACAGAACGCCATCCACACACCAGAGGCAATACGAGTAGTTGGGGGTTGCCAGCGGGCAGTTTGGAAGCCCCCCCCCCCCCAATCCCCAGGGTGGAGAGGGAGAAGGGTTGGTGCTGAGCCTCCTTACTTGCCTAATCCCAGATCGTCCTCCTCTAACCTAGT